TAAGTGTACCTGTTGTTGAAGTGAAGTACTTATAACTGAATATTTCTAATTTCTTTTCCTAAGCTTTCCTTTCATTACAGGAGATCTCTCCTCTTTAATTTACTTTTCTTTCCCTTTTTCTCATCTTATTTCTTCTATACTTCCAAAATCTCAACTGACTAATCAGATTAAGAATGATATGATACAAGAGAAAGAGCATAGTTCTTAGAAGTTTGCCTCAGGGTTTGCTTTACAATGTACTAATTGTGTGACTCTAGACCCTTGACTCAAGTTAGTTCATCTGAGAAAAGGAAATTGTAAAATACTTCTCCCATTCCCAGTATGCTACTTTGAAAATCAAGTGATGTAATGAGTATGGAATTGTTTGTAAACTACAATAATTTTTCAGTGCTTATTCTAATCAGTCAGCTCTATTTTCTCACTTGTAAAAACCACCTAATAGAAGGTCCCTTTTGTGTTTTGTAGGGTCAAATGTGATGCCGTTTATGAAAGCACATTAGAACATAAAATATTATACAGATATAATCTCACTAATATAGGAATTTATGCTATTATTTTATTTTATTTTATTTTAAGAAAGGGTCTCACTGTCACTTAGGCTGGAGTGCAATGGTATGATAATAGCTCACTGCAGCCTTGATCTCCTGGGCTCAAGTTATCCTCCCACCTTCCAAGTAGCTGAACTACAGGCATAGGCCACTATGCCCGGCTGATTTTCAAAAGGTTTTAAATAGATAGGATCTCTAAAAGAAATAGATCTAAAAAAAAGATCCTATGTTGCCCAGTCTGGTCTCAAACTGTATGCTCTTTAAATTATAGTGTTCATATAGAATTTAACTACATAGTGTGATGAAGACTAGCTGGAATATAATTACTTTGCAGATGTGTGTTTCTTAAATATTGCTTACTAAAAAATCACCTCATAGTTAAGTCTCCAGGAATATAATTACTCTTCAAATTATCTAATATTTATTAAATCAAGCTTTAATCTACAATTAAAGATGGGATACATATAATGATCATTTAAGAATTTCAAATCTTAAAGCTTGTTCCTCTGTATTTTATTGAATTTTAAAAACAAATAAACAACTTTTAATTACGTGTCATTTTAATAATTCTGCTCTTTTTATGACTTTAATTCTGTTTTAAAATAGACGCTTGAGTTTCAATATGGAGCTTAATAGTAGCCACATTTGGAACTTCTGCAAGCTCTTCTAAACTCTCAGTGCCTCAATTTCACCATCTCAATTATAGGTACTCTTCGATAAAATTCAATTTGACTAATCAGTTATTATAGGATGCAAGAGTAACTGTAATTTTAGAGGTGGAAATAACCTTAGAGATTTTCAAGACCAGCTTTCTCACATCAAATATAACAAATCTAGCTATCAGGGAGGTTAGGAAGATGTTACTGGAAGGGGGTCCTGATCCAGACTCCAAGAAAGGATTCTTGTATCTCAAGCAAGAAAGAATTCAAGGCGAGTCCATAAAGTGAAAGCAAGCCTATTAAGAGTAAAGGAATAGACTATGGGTACTCCACAGGCAGAGCAGCCTGCTGCTGGTTGCCCATTTTTATGGTTATTTTTGATTATATGCTAAACAAGGGTGGATTATTCATGAATTTTCCAAGAAAGTGGTGGTCAATTCCCAGAACTGAGGGATTCTCCCTATTTTAGGTTATAAAGGGTAACTTCCTGGCATTGCCATGCCATTTGTTAACTGTCATGGTGGTGGTGGAAGTGTCTTTTAGCATACATGCTAATGCATTATCTTTGTCCTCACTGACAAAGAGGTCACTGTCATCGCTATGTTGGTTTTGTTGGGATTTTGCTGGCTTCTTTACTGCATGCTGTTTTATTAGCAAGGTCTTCATGATCTCTTATCCCATCCTGTGATTTAGAATGCCTAACATCCTGGGAATGTAGCCCAGTGGGTCTCAGCCTTATTTAACCCAACTCCTATTCAAGATGGAGTTAACTCTGGTTCAAATGCCTCTGACAAAACTTGCCTAAAGTTACAGGCCTAGTTAATGGCAGAGATGTTCTGAACAGCCACCTTTCCTGGCCCAGTATGGTGATATATTTATTGCCTTTTCTATCAGTCACTGATAGCCTTGATCTAGTTCTTTCATTGTCTTAAGCTGATATTCATAAATTTATGGTTATCACAACTTTTCTATTACCGGCATATAATACTTTTCAACAAATATTTGCTGATTTCGAAGGTTTATTTTTCCTCCACGTTTCAGAAAATGCTGTCTGCCAATTTACAGATAGGCTATTTTTAAAACAACCTATTTCTTCTTTTGTATACTTGATCTTCCTTCAAAAGGTAGCATGTCTTCTTTTTTTGGAACATCACAAATTTATGAAATGGCAAAAGGTGAAACAACTTTTAAAAATGATAACCCTGTAGCATTTGATTTTTGGATCAACTCTAACACTTCTAAAATCTTTCTTAATTGCTGGAGAATAACAAAAACGTGTAGGTCATTCAGAATCAACAAATACTTTAATATTAATGAGATTATTCTTCCCAACATGGGGAAATTTCTCTGTTGTTTTTTGCATTACCACAGAGTAATGTTGATCAGGGAGCAGATGATTCCCTTATTCTTCTGAGTAGAAAAAGCCTAACTAGAATCTTGGAATATATTAGAAAATTTTTAATCTTTAGCATTTTAAGATTTCTGTTTCTACTAGTAGTTCATTGAAATTTAGTGTCTTTATTGAGACTGTGTGTCATTTGGGAATTCTATATTACATCTTTATTAAATGATTTACAAGTTGGAAAACGAGGGTGTAAACTACACACTCGAGTGTAACTTTAATACTCCTAAAGCAAGAAGTTTATTTCATTGCAGTAGCTGATTTATCTTGGACCAGAATAATGAGTCGTATCATTAATAGCATTTATTTCAGATCTAGAAATTGGGAAATACTATCACTTAATGCAGTAAATTCTAATAGTATAAGTAATCAAAATTAGTTGTGTAACCAAAATCATCTATATTAGATGTTACTGTTTAGCATATTTTTCCATTTTTGGCAGTGGTTTCATCTTTACAATTATGTTTTGCGTAGCTTGATATTATAAAATATGTTGGTATTCCATCATTTATGGCCAAAGGTAGATAGGATACCAAAGTATTGTGTATGGCATGGTGAAACTTTATAGGGATTAAAATGCACGTAGAGCCAGGCAAGGTGGCTTATGCTGTAATACCAGCTACTCAGGAAGCTGAAGCTGGAGGATCACTTGAGATCAGGAGTACAAGACCAGCCTGAATAACATAGCAGGATCATGTGTGTGGCTAAAATATTTCTTAAATAAAAATAAAATGTACATAAGTAGTAACTATCCAGTTGACTTATAGTATAGCTTTAGAAATATATGAATAAAAAGAAAGACAAGTTATAAGATATATAATTATTTGTGAATGCTACTATGAGAATAAGATTAAATGGTAGCCAGTGAATCTTTTGATACATGGCCTATAAGGCCCTACATGGTCTGTGCTCCCTCACTTTCCATCTCCATTACTACTTTAACCTCATCTATTACTGTTTTCTTTGTTTGTTATGCTCCAGCCACAGTGACCTCCATGCTTTTCTGGAACATATCAGACATACGCCTAACTCAGGACATTTGCACATGCTGTTCCTCTGCCTGGAATCCCTTCTCTTCAAATAACCATATGGCTAACTCCTTTTCTATCTTAAGTTCTATACTCAAAAGTTGCCTTCTTAGAGGAGACTTCCTTTCCTACCTTATGCAAAATTTCATCACTGTCTGGATATTTTATTTCCTTCTTACCTACTTTGTTTGCCTTTTTAGCATCAATCAATATTTAGGTCACAGTGTATTTTATTTATCTTGTTTATAATCACTTTCTCCCATCAAAATATAAACTTTATGAATGTATGGGTTTTTGTCTGTTTTGTTTGCTATTATATCCCCTGTACCCAGACATGCCTGGATTATAGTAGGTGCTAAATATATATATATTAAATGAATGAATGTTAACCACATGAGAAATAATTATAGATAATCTTAGATGAGCCAAGTAACTCATATTCAATGATACAAAGCTGTTACTACTAATTATATTTGTCTTCCTTTATCAAGATTTTTATTGAAATAATATCTCATAGCATATACATATTTGTCATTTTATGAAAGTACTAAATATGGTAATAAAATAGTCATTTTATCTCATGTATTGAAATGTATTTATGAACTTTCTTTTGATATGTTTCAAAGTTTCTACATTGTAATTCCACATAAACATTTCATTTCATCACAATAAAGCAATGTTTGGTAAAATGCTTATTCTAAAATAAGCTAGTATGTATTATTTAATATCAACTAAGAGGAGACTTTTGTCAAACCATTTTAATTATTACTTTCTTCATATCTTGGCTGCATTCATTTTATTGAAAATAAATTTGGGGATATACTGGAAGTAAATTTTAGTGCTTTGGAATTTGAAATATATTAAGCAAAATTTCAGTGTCACATTTCCTTATTTAAAATGTTAACTATTACATAGTTTATGTAAGAATTTAGGAAAAATACCCAAAAGTCCCATAAAACCCTGAAGTATATTTAGATTCTTGTTATGGACATTATCTAATATTTCTGATAAGCTCTGATTGTTATTTTTTGATTTATACTAGAAGTTACATGGGAAGACCAGCAGAAAAAGGTGAATGGTACAATAAGTGATGACAAACCATTGCCGAAAAAGAAACACCAATCTGAGCCAGGTTTGTCAGGGTTTGGAAACCATATGAAAGCATGAGACTACAAACATTGCATTTCATGCTTTTTAAAATGCGTGTGTGCTTGTTGTACCTCATTTTTCTCATTTTGGTGTGAACTTGATAGTGTGTAGATTCCATTTAGATTAGAGTGGTAAATACTTTATTTCAAATTTTTTTAGAAAACCAATTATATGTATTTTGGGGAAAATATAATTATTTTATTAAGATGAATCCTTTAAGGAAAAAATGACTAATTTAAGTGCAGAAGGTGATCTGCTTTACACAGTTGATTATGTTGACTAAAATTGAAGTACCTTAATGCAGAGATACTTGCTTCCCTAAAAAGTACAATAGAAGCTCAATATACTATCTCAAGTTTGTCTTTGTAGGATATTTCTATTATTTACTTGCAAATGCTGTTGAGATATTTATACCAAATATTGGTAATGATTTATTTACAATCTCTGGAGTTAAAACATATTGCCAACAACAAGGATGAGGGTTAGCATAGTATTTGAATTAAATAAAGAGTCTCTTCAAACTGTTAATTCTACCAGTGAATTGAAATGAAGTATTTTTGTTTTCCTCTCCCTTTCTTCATTTTTTATGGAGAGATATGGTTAACCCATTTATGCAGGAGTTTGCAAATTTTTTTGTGTGAAAAATTAGACTTTGGCAATGACCTTGAGCAGTAGGATATAAATAACTACCAAAAGTTTAGCATTCCAGTAATGGAACAGTAGGCATAAATGGGTTAAGTAGAAGACAAAATTTCAACCAAGAGTAAAATGAAAAAAGGCACAGTGCAGAGATAATCGATGAACTTAAAAATAATACTACTTTTAATTAGTAATTGAATGAGAATATATTGAAATGTTCATCAAAAATTTAAAAATTCAAATAGAGTTTTACTAATGGTATTATAATTAAAAATAGTTTCGTCTGTGGTAATAGTGTTAAAGTATTTTTATGTGCTAATTCATTATTTCATGTTACAGCTCTAAGACCTATATATTAAAATATACCAATGTAAAAATTAGTCTTTAACCGGTATTTGTTGTCATCCTGCTGTATTCCAAGCATTATAGTTGGCACTGACTTATTAATGTAGACAAGGCAGACACAGCAATTGCCCTCACACAGCATATTACGTCTGCAAAAATACATAATTTAAAAATAATTATACTAATGATTAAGCAATTACAATTGTGGTAAGTTCTATTAAGGAGAAGAATAGAATGCTTTGAGAAAATGTATTATGTGACTAAGTCTGAAGAGCAAAGAAAGATATCATAGTGCAAATGAATTAATCTATGAATTATCTTTTAGTAAAACAGTACATACTGAAAATGTAATAAACTGGAATTCAGATTGGGAATTTAAATTTATTCACAAGGTTGTAAGAAAAAAATATATTTTTTCAAATCTTCAGTTAATAGCAGTTTATGAGAAAAATAGTGATTAGCTTAATATATTGAAAGAGATTTTTTAGGTAAACAAGATAAATATAAAATTGATGTTTTATGTTATGATTTATATATCAAAAATTATTACTGTAAACATCTCCTCTTGCTATATTGTGTGACACAGGTTATCCTTGGTCATAAACTATTATTTGTTTATCCACTTTGTCATCATGTGCAATACGTGACTATGTTTGTGGCCATATATATATCTATGTAAACAAGTTACATTGTATATTAAAATCACGAAACAATGCAATGTTTAATGAAAAATATTTTGACATCTCATAAACGCAACATTTTTAGGATATACTTTAAATATTTTTTTTAGTTTAACTATAGTCCCTTAATGTCATAGTTTAAAATGATTATAGTTTTGTTTTTTTTTTTTTTAAATTGTGTATTTTCCTGTATGCTAGGAAAATTGATCCTGGAAATTGAAACCCTAAATGTCGTGAGTAAGTATGCAATATGCTAAGACAGTAAAAACAATGTTAAATTTTAGTACTTCATAAATATTCTTACCTGTTTGCTTCTAAAAGGAAATTAGGTTATTTAAAGAATATTTTTAATTATCAAAACTTTGGAGTGATAAAATGGGAGGAAAGCAGTAGGATATAGATATAGCAGATTATATTTCAACAACATGTTTATATGAACCTATGCTTTACAGAATACATGTTTGGAGTTATTTCTTTTATGTTTAAGTACATATATTAATAATCTGTTGACTATAAACAAGGGTGTTTCATACATAATTTTTATATGCTGAAATATAAAAAACCTCAAAAAATTATCAAAGATTTCTCATCAAAGGATTATTGTGGCAAACTTGTGGCATCAGAAAAACTTTGTATGGAATTGAGCCCAAATTTGAGATGGAAAGTGGCTGTGCATCAATAGATATATTGTTTTCTTTTTCAATTGCTGTTTTATTAAAATCAACGCCAGAATAATTTATAATACCTGGGAATTTGCCATTTCTGGAATGTTTACTAGCAATAAAAATAACACTTGAAATTTTTATTTTAAATGTGAGACTATAGAACCAAAGAACTAAATGGCATGACGTGGACTAGAAAATGAGTTAACAAGTATTTGGATGAATTTTAAGTACTATGACTAGTATCTGCCTTTTTAAAAGAATAAACTTGGTATTTCTGAACTGAGATGTCTTGAGAGGATTATCAGCAAAAGAAGTGATTTCCTTATTGCCCAGGCTGGAGTGCAATGGCGCAATCTTGGCTCACTGCAACCTCCACCTCCTGGGTTCATACAATTCTCCTGCCTCAGCCTATCATGTAGCTGAGATTATGAGTACCTGCCACCACGCCTGGCTCATTTTTGTATTTTCAATAGAGACGGAGTTTCACCATGTCGGCCAGGCTGGTCTCAAACTCCCGACCTCAGGTGATCTCCTTGCCTTGGCCTCCCAAAGTGCTGGAATTACGGGCCTGAACCACCGCGCCCGGCCCTGCTTATAATATCTTTAACTTAATTGACATCAGGATAGATACAAATCCCTGGGAAGTATCATATTTATCATGTTAATATCTTTCATGTAAACATAAAGTATGTAAATCCTATGCATTATTTTAAGCCCCAGGTTTTTTGAATAATTTTTAGTGTAAATCATTTAATGTTTTCTTCCTGTAGAATGTGGATTAGAATTTTTTTAGAACTTAAAGTTAATAAAATATTTCTAATTCAAATCAAGTAACAAATAATCCGTTGTTTATTTTTTCAAAAAACAATCTGATTCCAGAAAAGAATATTGTGGTCTTTAATAATTCAGTGATATAAATATTTAAAAAACTATTAAGCAATTGAATTTTATAATTTTTATCTTGTGAGTTTATGTTTTCTTATAGTAATTAGAAATGTTTATGAGAAAAGAGGCTGTTTCCACATAAAATATTTTAGACTGATATTTTACTTAACTTAGCCCACAAAAAAGTAGTGGGAAAGCTACCTTAAGTTAGAAGTTCTTCAGTCTTAATGAATGTTTTGGAACTGGTACAATTTCGCATATTCTCCAAAATTAGTCTTAGAAACTAATCTTAGTTCAGAATTTATTTACCTGGACATATAACTTTAAAATAATTATGAGTTTTGATTTGTTATTTTCTAAGTGTAAGCTATGCTACATCTAGGAAAATCTTGAATTGACGCAGCTATTGTTATTGTAACTGAAACCATAACGTGCTCTTATCTGGTTGTATCTTACATGGAAAATAACTGTCTTCTTGTAAAAGTGAAGGCAACTAAACCTTTTGCTGATGTACTATATGATTATACAGTATTTTTGAAAACTGAAAATATTCAGAGTAACAAATTGTGTTTTACTACTTACTATAATATTTTAATGTGCACATAAGCCCCTAGTTTTAGCATTGTTTGATTTTATTAATGTGTTAACCTTTATTTTTTTTCTAACATGGACATTTCAGTATTGTGTTCTTTATGGAATTTATAATAATAGTGTAGGTATTTTTTTTACTTAATTTTACTTTTGGAATTTTGTTTTATAAAATGTATCTTTAGGAAAAGTAAATATTCAATAAAGCATTTTGTTAGTGAATTTTATACGGTAAATTTTTTTCTTGAGTGTTTTGATATTTTGTACTTTTGTTTCTTTTCATTCTTGAATGTTTACGTTTTCTTAAAAGTAAAAAAAAAAAAAAAATTAGTCTAAAGCAGTATTCCAAATCAGTCTTCTTATTAAATACTTGTTCAAGCCATCCAGTCTGGAAAAAGGAATTAGGGCTCTGTTCTTGGTCATTATTAACAGCTTGATGACTTCTGAATTGTTGTAAAATAAGTATATTTTATTCTTAATAGAAAAAATTAATGTAAGACAAATGTTTTATATGACAGATCAAGTGATAGAATTTGGAATTAAATACTACTAACATCTTGAGAAGTAAATATCACATTCTTTCATAATATGCCTGAAGTGAAATTTCATAATTTATGAAGTTAATTGCTCATTTAAAATTAGTTCAGTTTTCTCTGCATATACAGATAAGCTTGTATGCCAAATCTCCAAATCTGTTCTTCAGTAACCATCCTTCCTATGATAAACAGCATGCTATAGTTTGGAAATAAATTAAACTCCCTCAGTACAAACTCTCTTTTTTTCTGCATTTAAAAATGTATTATATTTTGGATTTCAAAGATAAAATCAGAGAAAAACAGCACTGCCCCAAATAAGAAGGCATTTAAAAGATAGCCTTTTTAGGCCAGGCATGATGGCTCACACCTATAATTCCAGCACTTCGAGATGCCAAGGCGGGCAGATCACAAGGTCAGGAGTTTGAGACCAGCCTGACCAACGTGGTGAAACCCCATCTCTACTAAAAATACAAAAATTAGCCAGGTGTACTGGTGTGCATCTGAATCCCAGCTACTCATGAGGCTGAGGCAGGAGAATTGCTTGAACCCAGTTGATGGAGGTTGCAGTGAGCTGAGATCACACCACTGCACTCCAGCCTGGGTGACAGAGCGAGACTCCATCTCAAAAAAAAAAAAAAAAAAAAATCCTTTTTATGTAGGTATAGTGAATTTTTAATAATAGCAAAGTATTTGAAAGTACTGCACCTAATCTAATAAATGGTCATTTAATAGGTTGAAATTATTGTAAATGTTCAGTAATTTTATGGTTGTAGACAAAATTATAGGAAATAATTAGTTTAGAAATGACTGGTTCACATCATTTGGATTGAGAAATTTTTCAAAAAGGTTTTGTCACTATGGAGATGTTCTAGTTTGTCATCTGTAAACTTGATAAGCCTTGTATCACTGAGGCCCTCCTACTAGGTGCTTACTTAAGCTTCTTGTTTTTTTAAAAAAAGGTATATCTTCTTCACCCAAAGGAAACATTCTAAGGCTCCATGAACTTTAATGAGCCCTCACACTATGCTTAGCTTCTAATTATGTGCAAATTCTAATATACAGTTAGAATTTTCATGCTTCTGTTTCATTGTGTCAGGAACCTTGTTTACGTATGTTTGTTCCCATAAGATATAAACGTATGTTATTCAACTACAGTTAAATCTGGTAACAGTACCGAGTGTATGCCTATTGTAAATGGTGGTAAGTGAGAACATTAACCAGACAACAAAATTTGATAGATATCAAACACTGTGGGTGAAAACTGCATTTGTGAATAAACAAGCCACATGTGTTTGACTTTTTTAAGTTGATTACAGGTAATCATTTCTGTTTGAACTTGAGATATGTGTTCAGTTGAAACATAATAACAGTTAAAACATTATTACATTGACAAGGGAAGAATTCTTAGCTTGCACAAAATTTTACATAAAAGCTGACATCATAGTTTCATGAGCTTATCGTATTACCAAATATGCTTAATGAAAATGATTTTGTATATGCATTAATATCTGTATATGTAGATATGTAGATAAACAGTCATGCAGCACATAATGATGGTTCAGTCAAAGAAGGATGCATATATGACAGTAGTCCCATAAGATTATAATACTGTATTTTACTGTATCTTTTCTACATTTGGATATACAAAATACAGTTGTGTTACAGTTGCCTGTAGTATTGAATATAAACATTCTGTATAGGTTTGTAGCCTAGGCGCACTATGACCGTGTCATAGCCTGGGTATGTAGTAGGCTATACCATGTAGTTTTGTGTAAGCACACTCTATAATACACAATAATGAAATCATTCCCATCTTGCTTTTTATATTAAATAGTTTACAACTTAATAGTATCTTAAATTTTAAAATATTTATTGTAAAATAATTTACCATAAGTGATTGAATGGTGCTTATGAGTTTATTCATTATATTTTATAAGTGTTTTTTATTTCACTGTAATTTGTGAAAATAATTTATTTTGTATGATGGAATGAACAAAAAATACTGCACTTGTTTTTGTTTCTACAAAGAAACTCTTCATTATTTTATGTCTAAAACAAAGATCCAGCCATAATTGTGAAGTATCTGGGCACCTAAAAGAGGGAATACTTTTACTATCCTTAATCAGTCTTACCTGGTTATTGATTAGATGAAAAGATGGGTTTATTAGTTGCAGAAGAGTCTTGTAACTGGTTGTTGGATAAATGAAAAAGAAAGAGTTCTCATTAGAACCCTTCATTAATTGCACTAAAAAGTAGAATATTTGACTGTGGCATGGTAATGAGAAGTATGGGAGAAGTAGAGGGGATATTCTTAGCTACTTTCAAGGTTCACCAAAGTCTGCTATTTATTATAATACTATATGAAAAAAGTACTTATAGAATGTTACCATTTGCCTAAGACGTAGCTGCTTAAGCAAGGTAGTTGACTATAAATTTCTCTTTTTAAATGAGGATATTTAAATGCAACAATACATAATAAAACTGTAACCACAGAAAGTCCAAAAAGCCAAAAATATTTAAAATATACATGATACAAGTATAGTTCTATTTTGAGATATGCTTTACATGAATTTTTATTTGCTAAAGTTATATTTTTATGTAAGCTTAATTATGAACTAATTATTAATGGATCGTATTCAGATAAACTATGGAAAATGACTTAATTGATACTTTTAGTTAGTAGTGAGATCATTTTCAGATATTTTATTTTCATCCCCCTATTAGTCAAATATATTTTGCACTTCCTGAAAAAAAGTTTTTTATTATTGATTCTAAGATAAGTGTTGCCATATTCCTTACAAATGAAAGCATTGGTCAATTACTTGACAGTTGTAGAATGTGCCACTTTTTAAAAAAATTTTTAAATTAAATACTGTATAATAAAACATCCAGTTCAGGCATCACCGTGAGAGAATTGTTTTTCTTCTTTGTTTGACTTTTAATTTTACATGTTTTTATTGGGTCATATAGCATCTAGTACAAAGAAAATTGACCTGGTAATCAGGAGACCCCTGTTCTATTTCTGGCCCTGCCACTGAACTTGTTTTGTATCATTGGGTAAGTCACTGGAACTATGTGTGCCTCTGTTATTCACTGAAATTAATTGAGTGAATTGAGAATAATTTTTCATGTTTGGATATATAATATGAAAGCCATTGCATTGATGCCACATAAAGTAATTCAAACTATAGGAAAATACTAGGTGAAGAAAGAAGCTTCATTTATTTATGTCATTATTATACTTTCTGCAAAAAATAAAATATTTTCTTAAAGATGGAATATATGGAAACCATATTTCATCCACTTCATACCAATTTCATTTTAACATGTGAGGAAACTATTTTAATAATCTAGAAAATGTGTATCTAGGGAAATTTTGTGTATAAAAACACAATGCAACATGTGAAAGTCGGCATTAGCATAGGCTATTAATAAACTGTGATTGTCTTACCTTATCTTCCTTGAGAAGTAGGTGGATTGAGGGTGGAAACAAAAACATAGCATGTATAATTTTAATGTGTATTAATAAATTTCAGGAGAATATGAAGATTTTTTTTCCTAGTGGTTAATCCTGTTAACAGTATGATTTGCAATGTAATTGTGATGAGATTTAATGTCTGATGAGATTTAATGTTTGATTTTCAACAGGTGAAAAAATGTGTTCAAATAATAATAAAATGGTATTAAGTTTCAAAATGTCATTTTTTTCCAGTTTTCTATAATTCGTACTAATATTTCTGGTTTTTTTCTAAGAAAAATTGTTTTGATCATCTTAGCACTAATGGACTTAGTTGAATGGAAAGTTTTCATTTATCACTATTCATATAAAAGGATAAATTTGTTACAGGAAATAATTCTCTAAAGAGCTATAATTTTAATATGTTGGTATTGCAAGTATATTTTGATACAATATGCTTTGCTATATAAATCACTCAAAAATAATGATGCAGCTATTGCAAGAACTTAAATGTGGTGTTTGATTTTAGAATTTGTGGTATCTGATTCAAAGCTAAGTGAGTAAATTAAAATATAAGATTTTGGCTTTTTCGCATATTGTTCATCTGTGTCAATCATACTAACTCACTAATATCTTCGGGAGAAATTTTTTTTTAGAACACTGAGTTTAGCAGACATTTTTCTGTTTTCCAGTCACTGTATAAAATGTTATCTGAGCTACTTCACTAGCACTAGGGAGAAAAGTCTTTCCAAAACATGTGTCATATCTGTTATAGTTGATGGATTTGGATGGATACCTTTCAGCATAAATTTTAATAATCTATAAAGTGGCATTTGTAAGAATCTGTTGAACAAGTAGGCATTAAAAAAGAATATGATCAAAGAAAATTTGTCTACATTGAAGGTTAATTTGGATTTTTGATGCTGAAATGAAGCCGTATATTTCAGCTACTCTTCAAATAAAAACTTGTGCCATATTTATTACTTCATAACATTTTAATAATATTTTGCTGTATTGAAATAATTCAATGAAATATTGGCCTGATGACCATTCTTTGTTTTTGTGTGTGCACTGGCTTACTGGGGAAGCATAAAAGGAATAGAAATCTGTTGGAACTATTTTATTGCTCTTTTTGATGATGACTCAATTAAATCTTTTTCTGCAGATAATTAAAAGTTTGAAAGCATTGTAATAGATTTTTATATTGACTCAGTAATGTCTTGAACAATGTGGTCATACAACTAACATTGTTTTTACTAATGGTATCTTTCTTCAGCATTGGTGTTCAGGATTTGCTATACATAAATAATTGTAAACTTTGGGATCCTCTTTGTTTCTATACTAACTTTATTTTTCTGAATCTGCTAACCTATAGTAGCATAATCATCTTGCCATCAATTCTTATGTATTTTTTGTGGAATGCATTTGATTATATCTTCCCTAAAACTGTACACAGGATTCTTTCTCAAAATGATTAGAGGTCCTTTCCTTCAGTGTCACTTTTTACCCTTTGAGTACATCCACTCACTCCCATCTCCTTTGTCTATGTCTGTCCATTACACGATGTGATCACAGAAGAACTGGACTCTACAAGGAGAAGATATGCAGGTCTGTCTCTTCTACTGCTTTTTTTTGTTATTATTTTATTTATCTAACTTGTCCCAGAAATGTTTAATCATTTTTTTACTCATTTCATAGTTATTCATTCCTTTGTAATATAAAAAAATATTAAATATATGATCATTTTAATTTAGGTATTTGTATATTCAACTATCAACAGTGACTGCTCCAATTAGATGGATAAAAGTAAAGTAATTAATTTTTATGTAATACGTATATATATGTAATTTTTTCATAAACTGACTAAAGGCAAATGGGATTTGTGTGTATGTGTATGTATGTATAGTTACCCCCCAGTATACACACACATATATATGTTTGGTTCCAAACATTTTAGACATAAAACTAGTTTTCAATTTTTTTTAAATAATTCCAAATTTTGATTTCTAACATGAGGTCATCAGTGTTCTACACTGTAGAGAATACCAAAGACCTAATACCCTAAAAAAGCTATCAATGTCACTGAAGAGTTAAGAGATGTGGATAACATCCTCTGTTAATATGTCAGTGCAGATTATTCTGACAAATATTCTACAAAGACATAAAGTGAAATAAAGTTTGTTTCAACTAGATGGTCAGAAAAAGTGTCTTGGAAGAAGTAACACTTGAGCTGAAACTTGAACATTCATTAAACACATGTGGTACTGTTCTAGGTGCTGGAAATAACAGGACACACAAAATAGCTCCCTATCCTTGCAGGCTTTTTTTAGTGTGAATATGTGTACACACACACACACACATAAAATGTATGTACATATGTATACACACATGTGTATAAAATGTAATGGAATCAGAAAAGATGGTATGATTCCTTTCCCCTGGGAAGGATAGATATTAAATACAAGAAAGACTTCATGGAGGAATTTAGTTGAATATTAAAAACTAGAACACTGTTGGCCTCTTGTGTAGACAGCATTTCAGGTAGAGGAAGCAGTATGGCCATGGCTTCACACAAGTTTAGGCAAAAGTAGGAAGAGACCAGATTTATAAAGATTATGTAGGTTATTGAAACATATAAAGCAACAGAGTAAGTCAGATATTTGTTTCTAGAAACATTACTTTGGTGGTTATATAAAGGATGGAATGGATTAATATAAGCAGAAATATTGTATATGAGGATAGTGTGATGAATCAGTTAAGAAATGATTATAGTCTGAATTAAGGTATAAGTAGAGGCAAACAATACATAAGAAGTTACATAAAGATGTAGATCCTACAAGTCTTGGTCACTGATCAGACTGGATATTATTGATGCAGGAAGACGAGGCATAGGGTAATTTCAGGTGACTAAAGTGTTTGGTGGTACATTTTATCAGGATAGGGAATATAATTTTTACAAGTTTTAGGGGAAAAATGGAGTTCACTTTTAGGATAGCTAATATGTAAGCCTCATTTGAAATATTCAAGTATAAATATCTAATAGAGGTGATTGGTAGTCTGGAACTCAGGAGGGAAGTCTGGGCTAGGGACATAGGCTAGGGTAGCATATTAGCATTCAAGTGATGCCATTGGAATTAATGGAATTGTCAGTAGCATATGAAAAATAAGAAGAGAGCCAAGAATCAAAATTTGGAGATCACCAGCACTTATTTATGTTTAAGGGATGGATGGAAGAACACAAGCCAGAAAACTGTGTTGAAAATGATTAAAGACAGTAGAATATCCATGAAAGAAGAGAATTTTTTAAAAATCTATGAAAGAAGTGAATCTCAATAAAGGGGTATAATCAGCAGTGACAAATTCCAGAGAAGACAAATATATTGTTAAATGGTAGGACTAGTCAATAAAGATATTTTTCTTATTGATTCAATAAAGTTGTTGTGGTTAGAAACCAAATAGAAGAGAAGGAAAAGGAGACGGAAAAGAAAAAAAAAAAACTGAAGGTAGTTAATGTAAACTAGGCTTCTTGATGGCTTGGGAATTAAAAGTTAAGAATACCCTGGGGAATTCGACAAGGAGCTCACCAAGGATATCCTGAAAAATGGTTACAGTTTAGCTGAGTGGAGACCCTAAATTTGTGATGGCATTGGTTCTCTAAGAATGTGTGATGATTGGCTCATTAGCACACTTCGGATATTGTCATTAATCATTTGGATCACAGTTGGAACTTTCTGGGCAATTATATAGAAAGAAGAGGAGACGGGATGTTAAGGGTGGATGGCAAGGAAGGTAGTTGAAGTAATGTTTGAATGGATTGGGAAGAATTAATTGTATTAAATCATTTTGTCATGTGAAATCATGCAGAATTTTTGATGAATTGGGAAAGAAGGTCTCAGTGAAAGAACTGAAACTTTGTGGTGATAGCTAAGGCAATAGAGGCAAATTGAGCAGATTATTATCAGAGAGAATTTAATAATCTTCAGAATTTTCAGATGTTGAACAATTCCAGATAATGTGAAGATACAATGTTTCTTTCTGGGTGTGATTTTCCACGATAGAATATAGATTACAGTTTGGGAATGCAAATAAAGCAACACATTTTATTTTATTTTTATTTCTTTTTAATTGTACATTAGGTTCTGGGGTACATGTGCTGATCATGCAGGATTGTTGCATAGGTACATACTTGGCAAGGTGGTTTGCTTCCTCCATCCCCCCGTCACCTGTAACTGGCATTTCTCCCTATGTTATCCCTCACAGCTTCCCTACCTCCCACCACGTAGGGAAGCTAAATTTCTCCCTTAGTTCCCCCCACAACAACCCCAGTGTGTAATGCTCCCCTCCCTGTGTCCATGTGTTCTCATTGTTCAACACCTGCCTGTAAGTACATGCAGTGTTTGGTTTTCTGTTCTTGTGTCAGTTTGCTGAGAATGCTGGCTTCCAGACTCATCCATGTCCCTACAAAGGACATGAACTCATCCTTTTTAATGGTTACATAGTATTCCATGGTGTTTATGTGCCACATTTTCTTTGTCCACTCTATCTTTGATGGGCATTTGGGTTGGTTCCAGGTCTTTGCTATTGTAAACAGTGCCGCAATTAACATACTTGTGCATGTGTCTTTATAATAGAACAATTTATAATCCTTTGGGTATATACCCAGTAATGGGATTGCTGGGTCAAATGGAATTTCTATTTCTAGATCCTTGAGGTATTGCCACACTATCTTCCACAATGGTTGAACTAATATACACTCCCACCAACAGTGTGTAAGTGTTCCTTTTGCTCCATATCTTTCCAGCATCTGTTGTCTCCTGATTTTTTAATGATCGCCATTCTAACTGGGGGAAAGCAACAAATTTTAATGCTAACATTTTTATACAGACATTGAAATTATTGAGGGCCTCAGCTTGATATATATGTGAAAGAAATTGCCTGGACTATAGATGGTAGCAACAAGGAGGAATAATGGTATAAACATAAAAGACATAGACTTCACATAAGATTAGAAAAGTAAACATGTGGAAGCAGCAATGCATACCAAGAAGAATGCTTCTAGGCTTCTGTGGTGTATATGTAAGTTCAAGGATTTTGAGCAGCTTCCCCTCAGAATGTTTCTGAGGGAGATAGTATTCTTGAAGGGTCAACATTCCATTCATGATAAAAAGGGAAATGAACATTCTCTGATGAAGCCGAGGGATATATTGTATTTAAGTAAAAGGAATATGGTTTCAGACCACAGTGGAAAAGATTAGGAGGTCTCTAAGCAATGCAGGAAGAATTAGAGAAAGAAACTCAGGATAGTAGGGTTTTGACAGTACTAACTGGAAAATGTTAAGAAAGGAATGAGTGCTGGGGAAAGGAAGGAATGAACCATGTAATTTAGTAGTGGCAAAACAAGGAGAAAAATAAGGAATTTAAGCTTAGAGGGGGAAGAAAATTCAGAGGTACAGCTTAGAGGTCAAGCAAAGGAATCTTCATGATATGCATAAAGGCAGAGGAAAAAGACTTGGTTGAGAGAATTTGAAGACTCCAAAGAGGAGAGGATTAATAATGGAAGCAACTTTTCTTACAAAAAAAATAAAAGGTACCTAGGATATCTGTTGAATGTTTAAATTTATGGAGGCAAGAATGTTTTATTGTCCTTAAAGATTAAGTTCTAAATTGTTATCATAGTTAGCTAAATATAATTTGAAGTCTTTCTTAACATACACTTTTAAAATTACAATGGTAGCTATAGATCTATGACACCCTTTTTCCTCCTGGTATGAGGAAGTTGAATGTTGAACTTTCTGGATGTCTGTTACAGATCCCTAATATGTGAGTTTGGGATTCTACAAACTCAAATGAGCCTAGAGATAAAGACTAATGCATTCTGTTCCAAAGTAAGTAGGAGTAAAGAGAGAATAATACAAAGGATAAGAAAACATTCACAGAAAAAGGAAATCATTTAAGAAAAGAAAGCAGTAAATTTTGTGACAAGCAATTCAGAATGTATTTCACCTGTTTAATAAAAGCAAGCTAAAGTTAAGTCTTTTCAAAATCTGACTGTAGTATGTGACCAAAGGTAATATCTTTATTAAACTGTCACTCACATCTCTAATGAACATGCAAGTTGGTTATCTGTCTTTATAAACACCACTTTAGCCCAATATATGATGGAGAAATAATTTCACAAGTCCAATTACTTTGCTAACATATTTGGTCAAAGTGTGTGTTTTATATTTTAAACCACAATTATAAGACCTTCAGTTGTGTTACAAGGTCCAATTACAGTCACTACATCATCATTCTACATAATTAATGGAGGAATTGATTTTGAAGCAGCAAAAAATGTTAACTTAGCACTTGCAAATCATAATCAAGTTTCTTTTAAATGAGAAGTAGCATGCTTTATTAGGGTATATTATACTTTTTCTTCTTACTCATGAAATTTCATATGACAGTTTTTTAAAATAATTATTAAACAAGTCTAACACAAAGTAAATTTTTAAGGTACTATTTGTTAAGTTACATAAAACAACATCTTAAGTTTCAACTACATAAAGTTTTAGAATTACCTTCAGACCTGATTTAGAGCATCTGACAAGATAAGTGCTTGTGTAATA